AATCTGAGGCTCTGAGGGTTTGGAACAAAGGGAAGGCTTTGGGGTCTGTGCTTTCCGAAAGTGATTCTGCAGCAGCAAACAGATGAGAGCGGTGCCGGCACTTGTGAGCTGTCACTTGTTAACATGCTGTGACATTTTGTACCCCTCCCTCCCTGGCTAGCAAGACATAAAGAAGTGAGGGATAGTTCTGAAAATGGACTAATCCTCTGGGAAGTTCTGTGGGTTGGGCAGGCTTTGACGAATGTGGTCATTTATGGAATTAGAGACTTTGCTTTGCAGGGGTTCTTCCCAGGTTTCCCCGGGACAAGCTTCCCCTCCAGAGACAATGTAAAGAATTCTCCTGTCCAGCAGAAAACAGACCCAGAGTCAAGTAGTGAGCCAAAATTAGCCTCTTTACAAGCTAATTAGAGCACAAAGTTTAGCATCCATTTCCCAAAATACAGCAGAAGGTGAAAGACCTCTGTCTCTCTCTGCTCTCTCTTCTTTCTCTCTCTCTCTCTCTCTCTCTCTCCTCCGTTGCCTTCTTTCCACCATCCCGCTCTTGAAAGGTCATCCTCAACACAGTATCTGCAATGTGTGAGTCTCTCCTTCGTTTTTAAGTAAACCCAATCAAAATCCTGGGAAATCCACTTGAGCAGCTCCAGAGACAATGTGGGATTCTAGGCCAGGGGCAGTCTTGCAGCCCTCAGTCCTGAAGGCCACCAGCTCCTTTATTAAGTTTTCGGGTTTGCACTATGGAGACCATGTTGCTGACCTGAATTGCTGCTTATTAGGAAGTAAATGGTTTAACAATTGGGCATTTTTTTCTGCCTTAGGGGAACAGACCACATTTAACAGCTACACATCTCTCCATAGCACTTCTAAATTTTGCAAAGTACTTTCACATATGCATCCTCATTTAATCATTACCCCCACCCAGTGATGCAGGCATTGCTACCCCCAGTTTCCTGAAAAGGAAACTGGAGCTTAGAGACGCCCGTCTAAGGTTGTTTGACTACAGCCAAATGGTCTATTTACTACTCTTAACTCCATGGCTTGTCTTTCAAGCGTCTCAGTTGCTATTGTGGGAATTTTCCCAGCTTGCCTTGTGGAGGGGTCCTATCAAGTGGATTGGGCAGTACTTAACAGCTGTTCAGTTGATAGTAGTTAATAGAGTGTCAGAGCCAGAAAGGGTTGTAGAGGCCATTTCCAGCCTGCTTATTTTACAGATAAGAAAACTAAAGCCTGGAGAAAGGGTAACCTACCTACTTTTCCAGGGCTCATGCGTGGCAACATCCTCCTGTCCCCATTCCACAATCTCACAACCCCTTCAGAACCAAAGCCAAGAGGAAAGTTAGGGTTAGGACCTAGCAAATCCCGGCCCCCATCCTGCCGATGTTTGCTAAAACAGAAAGAACCTACTAATCACAACACTGTGAATGATTAAGTGGGAGGGAGCTGTAGATAATCTGGTGTGATCCTTTTTTTTTTTTTTTTTTTTCATGTGAGAAAAGTGACATCTACAGTGGCAAGCAAAGTTCCCAGGGTCTGAACCCTGAAGTCTTGGTTCCCAGTCCCAGAGTCCACCTCTGTGCTTGGTGACCGTGAACTTAGCTGTGCTCAAAGTGTTGGGAGCCATTCGCCAGCTCATCAGGGATAGTGCAACTTAAACATTTCCAGACACAGGCACCTGGCTCAGCCCCTCACTTTGCCTTGGCAGTGGGGCTCAGGCATCAGCTGCTGACTTGGATGCTGTGTTCCTGGAGCAACATGGTGAGTGTGGGCTGCCAACACTGAAGCCTCGGGGAGTAAAGTGTTGAGCCAGTTAAACATCCCCAATGCCCCATCTCTCAGAAACAAGAGCAGCTCATTGGAGCGCTTGGCCCTGGGGGCTAAAACCTTGTGCTCGGAAGCCCCCAGCTTCCTCACCTCTGGCCCTCTGCTCTGGAATCAACATACGCCCCAATTCCAAACCCTGCCCTCTCCTGCTTCCCTGAAGCCTGCCTTGACTATTTAAGCCAAGAGGAGGTCTCGCTTCTCATGTCTTGAGACTGAGTTTGGCACTTGATTGTATATTGTCTGTTCTTTTCTTGCTTCTTCCCTACCCTGAGTGGTTTATAGACGACACGGGTTGCAAATGCTCTGAGCTTCCCGCTCTGCATTCTGCCGTGCATCTCAGGGTGCCCCAAACAGCTGACACGAGCTCAGGCTCACAGCTAGCACTGATACCAAGACTCTGCCTGCTTCACTTTGCATTTGCGCATACAGCAAATGCTCAATAAATCCTCACTGATTTGACTGTGGCTTCAGCCTGTTCAAAGAAGGAACTCAGGAGCCAGGGCCTCAGCCAGAGCATGCTAAGTCTCTGCAAATCAGAGAAAAGGTGCCCTCCTCCAGGCAGGCACAGCCCAGCCAGTGGAGTGAGAGCTGGATTTCAGCCCCTCAGCTGGGCGCCCTGTGCACTGAGCCACCTGCCCTGTCTCTCTCGGGCTCCTCCAGAGATTGCTCCCCGGCCCCCCACAGTCCTCCCTGGCTGGCTGTTCCCCATGGGGAGGCTCACCTTGGGAAAACTGGCCTCAGACACCTCGCAGATCATTTCCCAGCCTCCTTACTCCCAGCAGCAACAACAAAGAACACGTGCTTGTAATAGCTCCTTGCTCCTCCCTCCACAGAGCCCAGAGTCTCATGGCCCCGCAGTCCCAACCTTCCTCACCTCTGCTGGGAAGGCCCAGGCCTCACCCTGAGCTATCCTAATTGCTGCTTTTGCCATCTCAGTCTGGAGTGCCCTTTCCCTGCTGGTCTTTATTCCAGATCCCCAGGCCCCTGTCACATCCTGCATCTTCCACGCTGTCTCAATCGCACCAAGTATTCTCCCTGGAGTTTCTTCCTACCCCCACCTCTTTGCTGGCTGCACTGCTTTGACCTCTCCTACAACCCTCCCCCTACTTGTTAGTGGGTAACTCGGGGGTCAGCTGTCTGTTGTCAGCCCTCTTCCACACAGCCTGCTCCGTACTCATTCTGTGTCAACCAGATGATGCTTAACCCAGCACCACCCAAGTTCCCCAACAGATTCATTCACAAACTGACTGCTGAACCATATTGACTTGAGAAGTGATGTATTTTATGGGAACAGGGAGTCTCATAGCCCACCCCACAGCAAAGTACAAGCAGTTACCAATCTCTGCAAGCACCTCCATTCTCCAGCTCTTGGCCTGACAATCTTGTTCCAAGGGCTTCTGGCTCGTCACCCTTCCCCCACGTGCTCCCAGCCATGGTGTGTCTCCACATTCTGCCTCTGCGTTTGTTCCCCATTCTTCTCACCCAGTTCCTATTCCAATAGGCAGAAGAACTCAATATTGCCCCAGGTCCTTTCTGCAAATGGGCACACCAAATATGTCATGATGTGCAGCCAGATGCAAGCGCTCCTTCAATTTAGCCTTCTTGGAAGGAAATGAGGAATAGACAGAGCCAGGGTGTCTTTCTTGTGTATATGTGTGTGTGTGTGTGCGTGTGTGTGTTTTGCTCCACAAAGGAAAGAGTTCAGAAGGCAAAGATTATGTCTCCCATCCACTCAACTTAGCACCACAGAAATATACACAGTAAACCTGTGTCCAAGAGCCTCTACCAGGGACAGAGACAGTTTTAAGCCCTTTATGTCTCTCAGTTCCTCTCCTTCCTCCCCCCAACCAAGTATGACCAGGACTTGAGCGAAGGCCTTACCAGGAACTTAATAAAGAATTGTCAAATGAATGAGTCAGGGAGTAAAAGGGAAAGAGGAAAGATAAAGAACTTATGACAGAATGCCCTCACTAAGTTCATTTCAGCGGAGTGGAAGGGAACTTTGCGAACCCACCCACGATGATGGGGCACAGTGTGGATGGTGAATGGAAGGACGTGGCTGTGAGCACAGGGCTCTGGGCCCAGCTCTGCCTTCGTCAGCACAGGGAAGCCCCGGGACATCTCTGAGCCTCAGTGCCTCGCCTCTCCCATCCGCCCGTCTGCAGATGGCCCGCTGCAGGCACTGACCATCGGTGTCCTCGGGGCTATTTGACATTCATGTTTGCAGCTTCTTTCCCAAACGCCCAGACACCCAGGGCCCCTCGGCGCCGCTGCAGCTTTTCTTGGCGGAGGTCCTGGCCCCGGGGACCTTCACTGCCCGCTGACGGGAAAGAATTCTCAGCTGTGGAAACTGGTAAACTCCGCATATTTTACAGATGAGAGTCTAAACCCCTGCTGACTCTCATGTGGCATGAAACGGACAGAAGACCTCCTGCTGGTGTGACATGCCTGGAATGGTGTCACCACCATCACCGCTGCCCATGGGAGGGACAGGTGCATCATAGAGAAGTAACAAGTCAGAGTGCCTTGGGCTATGCTGCTTTCCCTACCCCTCATCTCTCGTCCCCACTCCCTCTACTGGGCTTCTCTACTTTTTAGAAAAAGAAGTGGTCTATTTGCTCTTCAGGAAAACAGTTCAAGGTCACCTAAAATCTAAGGGGACCAGGAATTAGCAGCATTAGCAACCCTAGGTGCTGAGATCTGACCCAGGGAGGAAAGCCCAGGTCTGAGAGGCAGGGTGGCTCCAAGGCACCTGCTAAGAAGTCTTTTTAGGTTGCCACGGGGCCTCAGGGTTGTCAAAATGATTTGGAGACATCGAATTCCTGGGAAACGGAGAGAATTTGGTGATTTTTAATGTTTTCTCTGATTCGGTAGGGATGTTAAGGCAGCCTAGACCTGGGATGAGAAAAGAAACCACCTGGTGGGTATTTTATTTGTCAGACAGTTGCCCTCCACCCTGGGGGCAGCTGACCTACGGCGCCCACCACCGCTGGTTCCGCTCGGCCCCCGGAACCTCTTCCCTTCCCCTCGCGTCGTCCCGTCAGCGAGAAGCACCCTGACGACGCCCGCGCCCAAGTAGCGCCCAGGGGCGCGGGGTGCCCCCGAGTGAATCCGCATTGGTGGGTGCGCGTGTGCGCTCGCGCGCGCGCTCGTGTGGGACGCGTGTGTGTGCGCGCGCGCGGGGGTGTGGCGGGGGCGGGCGCGGCGCCCGGGGGCAGGGCTCCGCAGTGAGAGGCGGCTGGACTCGCCCGGCTGCGAGGGACAGGGCGCACAGCCGCAGTGCCGTAGTAGCCGGCGGCCGGGAGCCAAGCTCGGAGCCTCAGGCCCCCGCGCAAAGGCGGAAGCCCCGGAGCTGCGGGCCCCCAGCCCCGCCGCCGGCTCTCGGCGGCGCTCACCGGCCCCTCCCCTGAGAGGGCTCCGCGGGCGGGAAGACGCCCAGACGCCAGCTTCGGTCCCCTTTCTGTCTCTCAGTTCCTCTTTCCTCCCAAGTAAGGGAATAAGCCGCGAGGAAGCAGCGCCCAGGGCAACCGCGCAACTCAGGGTTGCTTGGGAGGTAAGCTCGCGGCCCTGGCGGCGGAGGGGTCTCGGGCTCCGGGGTCGCAGGGTGTAGTAACTTGGAAAAGGAGAGCAAAGCGGGAGCGGTGCGGTGGCCAGGGAAGGGGCTGCAACAGAGGCCCCTGCGCCCACCCTGACGGGTACCACCTGCCGCACAGCCCTGCAGAAGAGGATGGGGCTCTGGAGGGGCGTCGGGTGGAGCGGTGCTCCCCAAACCCCGAAAGTGTGCAGGCGGGACGCGGCCTTGCTCCCGGCACTTTGCTGAAGCAACTGGTCGGAAATCTTCCCTCTGGACTCACCTTGGCTCCTCGGTATCCAGTTCGCGCTCCAGGGTGCAGCAGGGACCGCTTTTCCCGGTGTCTGGGCGCCAAAGCCTCAGACAGTCCGGTAGGGTTCGCAGACTTTGGGGATAATTCCGCAAAGCCCCCGGGCTGGGCTGCTTAAAGGGAAGCTGAGGAGAAACGGATACCCCGGCAAATATAGGAGAGGCGGGTCGGGGAGCGACCCTGACCTGTGTAGTCTCCGAGTCACCAGATTTGTCCGTGTGTGTTTGCGTCTGAGGGGTGCGCGTCCAGAATCACTTGTGGGGCTTTCGCAAACTCCATGGTCCACCTCACCCTGCATATCCTGAGATTTTGTTTTGTTTTGTTTTTCCTCTCCGGATGAATGGACTAAAATTTGGGGAGGGGGCTGCGGAGTTCTGAAAAGCCCTACAGGTGATTCTGACGCGCCGGCCTCAACCCCGCCATCACTGCAGTGGAAAGCATGGGACGGGAGCAAGGAGACGCCTCCCAGGGGGTGAAGGAGTCAGCTGAGGAGGCGGGGGTAGCGGTGGGCGGCCCCCGCCCCCGGGCGTCCCCGCGGCAGGAGGGTCTGCGGCAGCGCGCGGCGGGTTGTGGCGGCGCCGCAGTGGCGCGCGGGAGCGCTGCGAGCCCGTGGGCGCGCTCGCAGGGGCCGCGCGGTGGTCCCCGCCGCTTCTTTATCCTACGATGACCTCGCCGTCGGTAGGAGAGCTTGGGAGGGATGCTTTTCATTCTGTCACCCCAGAGGCGTGGGGGACGCACCTTGAGTATGGAGGTGTACAGCGGTCACCTCCAGACGTGATGAGGGACAGCGGTCAGGCCAAGGACCGGAAACTGCCCCTGTGGTCCGGGTCGGGGAGATGGATTTGGTTATTTCAGTGCCTGGGATTCTCTGTTTATAAAATTCAGACCCACTTGCTGGAGCATAGGGCACCCTCCTTGTGGATGAAGGACATCAGATCAAAAGGCGCAAATGTCAAGGTGCGGTCAGGAACGCACGAAGGCACGCACGCGTGCGCACCGCCCCCCCCCCCCACGCCCCCAGTTCCAGGGATGTGTACTAACGTGGGAAGTACTTCGCTGCTTGTCATGCTAAAACGGGCTATATTTGCCAGAAGTTCCGCTCTGAATATAAATTATACTCATTAAATACGCTGCAAGGAAGCTAACTTCCCTGTTGTACTCCTGATCCAGGTCTTTTTTTTTTTTTTTAAGGTTATTTTTCTGGGAAGGGTCTGGGGATGTGAGATGAGTAGATGACTCTTTTGTACCTTACAATTTTATGTAGTGTTTGGTTCCTATCAACCAAGACATGGAGAGAAAATAATCTACAGAGTACCTTGGAATCTCGACTCCCAGAGATGGGAGAGACTGCTAAGATCTTCAGTTCCAGCTTCTCCCAACACAACAGGACAGGTGGCGAGGAGCCCTTCCACCGGGCCCCTCCCAGAGTGGGCGGGGCTATGCTTGTGTGGGGCTCTGCCAGGGGAGCAGACCAGACAGCCTGCTGGCAGGGTTGGGGACAGAGGCTGGCCCCTGGATCCTCCCCTGGAAGGGAATGTGGAAGAGAGAAGGAAAGTGTCATTTCAGGGTCGTAAAGCTTTGTTTAGAAAACAAATCTTACTGTGTTATCACAGATCATTGTGATACACTCCTCTCTTATAAAAATGACTCATGTTCATTCCAGAAAATTTGGGAAGTTAAAAAGTACACAAAGAATCAAACAAATTGTCCACAGTTCCTCTACTCAGAACTCACACTGTTAACATACTGGCATATTTTCTTTCCATTTATTTTTATGCCTTTAAATCATACAATCCATGGAGAGCCAGCATTTTATTGGGTACCTAATAAGCATCCTTGGCAAAAATAAGTATTTGATATTCATAATGCGATTTAATCCTTGGAAGTGCCCAGAAGTAGGTCTTCTTATTAGCAACCTCATTTTTCCTAGTGTTTTGTACAGTTCAGATGACTTACCCAAGTTACAGAACTAGCACACCGCAGAAGCAAGAGTCCGATTCAGGCCCTCTGGCTCCAGAGCGTGGTTGCTTAGCCTCTGCAGCTGTTGTACCTTTGCTGCTCTTCCTCCAGCGGAAGTCCCTCCTGAGCCTCACTGTCATGCCTGTATGTTTCTACATCCTTGGTCGCTTCAGTTGTTGCCTATCTTTAGCAACTGCAAATAACTCTGGGCAAAGTCGTTGCTGCACACTTTTCAATTACTTCCTTTGGCCAGATTCCCAGAAGCATAATCACTGGGCCAAAGGGCATGCTTGTCTAAGGCTCCCGATACACACGAGAAGTCACTTTTCCAAAGAGCTATACCAATTTACACTTAACAGGGGACCCTAGTGACTCAGGGAAGCCAGGGCTTCATACCACATGAGCAAATCTCAACCTCTTGGAAGAAAAAATGATACCTCTCATCCTGCCCCTTTAAAAAAAAAAAAAAAGGTTTATTTGTTTATTTGAAAATCAGAGTTACAGAGAGAAAGGGAGAGAGAGAAAGAGATCTTACACCTGCTGGTTCACTCCTCTAATGGCTGCAACAGCCAGGGCTGGGCCAGGTCAAAGCCAGGAGCCTGAGGCTTCATCCAAGTCTCCCACATCGGTGGCAAAAGCCTAAGTACGTGGGCCATCTTCTGCCTTTTTTCCCATGCCATTTGCAGGGAACTGGGTCAGATGTGAAGAAGTAGGGACTTGAACCGACACCCACATGGGATGCCAGCATCACAGGCAGAGGTTTTACCCACTCTGCCACGATGCCTGTTTATACACTCATCCTGTTTTATACACTCAAGTGTGATTAGGGAAACCCCACCATATAAAGCTATACCTATTGTGTGTGTGGGTGAGCAAGTGTCAGCTACAGAATTCTCTGACTGGATGTCACTTATCATCTTTGAACAAATCAAACTGTTGTGTGAGATAAATCAATGCACGTACCATCCCACTCTTCACACAGTAATTATAACTTTCACTTTTATGAATGGGCATCACCATCACCGTCAGATTCAACAAGATCACAAAAGAGTAACAGCTTCATCACAAACTGACCAGTATATTCACCGAACTGCTCATTTATAGCAAGTATCAGCAACCGAGTTATCAGACCAAAACATTTATTTAAGGTTAATAACTACTGAAACAAAAAGATAAAAAAATAAGAATATACAAATCATTCAAAAAATGTCCTCAGATAGGAGGAAATATGACTGGTAGAAAAGGGATTGAATCAGGCAATGCCAAAAAAAAAAAAAAAAAAAACACAAAAAGGGGAATTTGCGAAGAAATCAAATTGGCTGTAGTTATAGGTTTTCCCTAGTGCACCACTGGCTTGGTAGCTGCCTCTGCCACCAGCACTGGGGTTCGTAGCTCTGGAATAGAATCCACTGTTGTGCATGGAGTAAATATCAGCTGAGCCCCGGCTCTGAGACCTGCGTAGGCAATGCTCAACTCAGGTCCTAAAACATTCTGGGAAGTCCTCCTCTACTGCCCATCCGGGCTACAAACCCCTCAGCTGAACTGACCTATGCACACTTCCCTCCCTTATTTGCATATCCTACTAGGCAGAGTTGGTGCCTGATTCTTGCTTGTGTCCCCACACCTAAAACAGTGCTGCTGGGAAGTCGACAATCACATGTGATGAATGAACAAACAAGAGCACAGTGTGTGTGCTTCTGTCTCCATGCACCTTCAGTCTGCCCAGGCTCTGCAGGCTCAGAAATGTACCGGAAAAGTGTCTAGAGCTGTGTTGTATATTTTCACATAGGAGTCTTTCCATGTTCATTCCAGTCATCAGTATTACGTGAAATTGAAAAGTTCTTCAGTTGCACTAATCACATTTGCAACGCTGACATGTCACGCGTGGCCTCTGGCTACCACCTTGGAGAATGCCCATACAGAACATTAACAAGTTCAAGTGCACTGTGCTGTTTAGAGTGTCAGCAAGGGGTCTGTTTGTGATGTCGTATTTTCCACCATATCCTCTGCACTGGGACAGTGCCTGGCCTAGAGAAGTTGAAAAGAAAAAGAGGGGGGCTGGTTGGCAGTAAAAGCAGTTGTTGTCATGTTAACTGTGGCATTTATAGGGCTCGTACTCTGTCCCATATTATACTATATTTTATATGCATTATCTCACTTAATGTTTGCTGCATCACAAACTTCATCTCGCAGTCAAGGAAGCTGAATCTTAGGAAGTTTGAGTCATTTGCTTGTTGCTGCAAAGCCAGCAGGAGAGACTGAGTTTTAAACTCAGGTCTGTATGATTTCGAAGCATATACTCATAGCACTGTTGCTTGATTGCTTTTATAATCACTGTATGTGATGACGTTGTATGAACTGCCACCATCTTGGCGTCCGAGGAAATCAGAGAAGGGTTGACGCTGGAGGCTTTCCCAGGGAGGTGATTGGTATAAATTGTGAACGTGAATGGCATTTCAAGAGTGCAGAATTTTGTCCAGGCCTATTTCCCGAAAGGGTGAAGTAGGAAGAAAGAAACCCACCACCCACGGAGTGACCTGACCCAAAGACCAAAACCCAGGAAGGCAGGTGAGCCAACTGCCATTGGTTGTTTCTGCTGGGAGGGTCCTGTCAGCAGCGACATTGGCTTGGCCAGGATCCTGGAGCCCATTAATGGTATAATCTGGCTGTTGATTTCCCGGCCGCAAGTGCTCTTTCCGCTGCCACACCTGCTGCTTGCTCCAGTGCCCTCACTTTCATTACCACCCTTGGCCCAGTTTTCTCTAACTTCTGTGTTCTTGGGGAATCAAATGCAAGATTTCAGGGCAGGCCTAATGAGCACAGAGAAGAATGCGATTATCACCTCTTTCATTCCACTTTTCCTGTTTCTGTTCAAACCCTTTGAGGTCTGATTATGAATCTGTACCATTAACTGTTAAGCTTAGTATTAACCAAAATAACCCAGCCTTATTTTCTACTTTCCTTTGAACTGTATCACCCACCCTTCACCCCCAAGAGATGACACCTGCGACCCCTGGGAACAGAGACTTTCCATTTATTCCTCATGTTATCTTGCTCCATGCAGTCTATCTTGCCAGCTTTCCAGATATTTCTGGTGTGATTTTGTCATCGAGTGAATTTGCTGTCACTTTCCAGCCATCCCTGAATCTGACTGAACACAGCCTCTTCAACTAAGTCAATGAAAATAATGAACTGTGGATTAGGAGGCATTCCAGCATTTGCTTTCCACAGAGAGATACTAATTAAATAATTAAGACCACTGTTTTAGGAAATTGATTCAGCTTGTACTATCATTCAGCCCATATTTCTCCATCTTTTTCTTGATGAAGTTTAGATATTAGCACTGGCATTGCCACTGTCCAATAACCCTGTCAAAGAAGCAGTTGTGTTGGTCTTGAAATAAACTGCCCATGTTGGTTCTTAGAGATCATGACTTCAGTTCTTTGTTTTTTTTTTTTTAAGATTTATTTATTTATTTGAAAGGCAAAGTTACATCAAGAGGAAGGGAGAGTCAGAGAGAAAGATCTTCCATCTGCTGGTTCACTCCCCAAATGGCTGTAATGGCCAGGGCTGGGCCAGGACAAAGCCAGGAGCCAGGAGCTTCTTCTGGGTCTCCCACGTGGGTGCAGGAGCCCAGGGACTTGGGCCATCTTGTGCTGCTTTCTCAGGCACATTAACAGGGAGCTAGATTAGAAGTGGGGCAGCCAGTACTTGAACCAGCACCCAAATGGGATGCCGGTAGTGCAGGTGGTGGTGGCTTAACACACTAGACCACAGCGCCAGCCCCATGACTTCAATTCTAAAAACTCACTCCACTGGATGGTGTTGTGGCACAGTGGGTTAAGCCGCCATTCAGGACACCTGCATCCAATATCAGACTGCTAAGTGCTAGTTCAAGTCCCAGCTACTCTACTTCTGATCCATCTGTCTGCTAATGCTTCCTGCCAGGCAGCAGACAATGGCTCAGGTGCTTGTTCTGGACCACCCACATGGGAGACCTGGATAGAATTCCAGGCTCCTGGCCTCCGCCCAACCCAGCCTGGGTGTTGTGAGCATTTGACAGTGAACCAGAGGAAATAAGATCTCTCTCTCTTTCTTTGCCTCTGTCATTCTGCCTTTCAAGTAGATGAAAATAGATAAATTTAAAAAATAAAAGCTCATTTCAGAATGTTTCCAGGGATTGACACCAACCCCTCAAGTTAAGAAATTTATTACAAATT